AACTATCTATTCTTCAACTCCATCAAAGACCCCAGAAGGATATAATATTACCTAAGTTAACAGGAAGTGCATTGTAAGCAACTTCCAAAACTCTAGACTTGACAGAGACATCTTGCAGCTTGGACAGTCACCCAGATTTCTTCTGTAACATTGGGGCATCCATCTTTAGCCTACAGGCCCATAGTATCTGGCAGACTTTTCCATGAAGCAAGAGATTTCAAAGACAGTTTTTCCTATATTGGCAGTTTGTCAGTCACTTTCTTCTGTTTCCTGCAAAATGTCTGGCAGACTCTTTCATGAAGCAGGAACCCTGATGGATCATCTCACCTTTAGGCAACTTCAGCAGTCATTTATCTGTGGATTCTGCATGTCCATATCATATAGTATACTATAAAACAGTCCAGGCAAGAGCAGTTTCTTGCTCAAATGGCTAACAAACTCTATGAGGAGTCTCTTCAGTGCCCGTCTTCTTGAGCTAATTGGTGCTGGAGGTTAAAATACACAAACACACAGACAGAGAGACAGCGACACGGGTCATCCTTGAATTCCCCAAGAATGCCCCCTTTATTGTGTTCAGGGGCAGGTTATATAGAGATAGCCACGCCCCAGCCAAACCCACCAGAAACCACTCTCCTGCCATCAGGAACTCCTGAAGGTCTCGTGCTCAGAGCAGCTGTAGGCACTCAGATCAGGGGATTACAAGAAATTCAGGATCTGGGTCTCACTGTTCCCAACAATTAGGTACTAAAAACATTATTGCTAACTTGGTAAGCTACATAATTTTTGTCAGCATTTGCTGGCCACTAGCGGGCTCATAGCCACTGGACATACATTCAAAAAGAATACAGTATGGTGAAGAACAACATTGGCTTCAAAACAACAGTAACTAGAAAGAACTCTTTAAGCCCTAAAGTTGGGATGAGGTGGCCGAGTGGTTAAGAAAGCCTCTCAAGTTGAAGTAATACAGATGGAGAAGATGCCTTACTCGGTGAAACATGACTTTCCTTAAGGATTTAAGTACTCACTGCTCCCTCTCCCCCCATTTTCATTACTGGATCTCAATTTACCAAAATAATGGGCTTTATTATATGTATACTATATTGTGTTAACCCCTTATCCTCTTTTGATCTTGGAAACTGACTTCAATCCCAAGTTTGTTCTCTTCCTCCCTCCCCCCCTCCCTCCTTTTCTTCCTTTCTTTTGTGCGCATGCAAATACTGAACTATTGGCTCCACTATTCATTCCATAAGTAGTGAAATTAAAAAAGTTTTTTTTTAAGTGAATGCTTGTCAGTACCAAAATACTGAAATTTTCTTCTATAAAGCAAGGGGAGACTTTAACAAGGTAAATGAATCTAGTGATGTGAAAGTCCAGTGCGTGTTGTTTATGACCAGGTTCCTAGCATCTTGCACAGCGGTTGGCACTGGCGCTGCTTGAGCAGTTACTGGAGTCTCAGCTGCAAAGATACAGTTGATGGCCAAGATTACACATAGTCCCCATGTGGACTTGTTAGCACTGAGATACAGCATGAACTCTGCTGCTTGAAAAATGTCTCTGCACATGATTCCTTAGTGGACACGTAGAGAAGTGCTTTAGAATGGGCTACATGCATTGGGGTTTGAAATACGTAACTGATCTTGCCAGTGACCATAGAAACTGTCTCACCTAAAAAGGTGTTTATATTTCAGACAGAGAAGTGTGCAACTTGCTAAGTTACTTAACACCTTATAATTTTGTGTTGGTCTTGCTTTCCCAGTGTTAAGATTACTCCAATTTTGACATTGTAAAAAGTTTGTTCATTTTCTTCAAAGGGTGGCCTAAAATTGAAGTAACATACAAAACATAAAAACAAAAAGTATAATAAAAATATTTTGTGTGTAGGTCTAAACGATATTAAATTAAAATATTTATCAGTGAGAATTCAGTTATTTCCTTCAAAATGACTTAGTATTATTGCTGTTTATATGCCTTTGATAAAACTATTTTGATGGGGGCTAGAGAGCTGGCTCAGCACTTCAGAGCATTTGCTGCTATTCCGGAAGACCTAGTTTGGACCCAGCAACTACATGGTGACCTATAGACATCTGGACCTCCAGTTCCCTAGGATACTATGCCCTCTTCTGGCCTTCATGGTTCATGGACATACAAGCAAACAAAATGTGTACTTAATTTTGCATGGGTCAATTTTTAGGATAAAACAGAATTCCCATAATTGCAATCATTTGGTTAAAAGAATACATATATACAGTTGAAACTTTTATAGGCATTGCCAATTTGCCCTGTATAGAGTATGTACTAGACTTTTTTAATTTGGCCAACATCTACTAGGATTCTTACTTCATAGTTCTTTAGCCAATCACACATAATAGAACTTTGATCTTTACCAATCTGCCTGTCAAAAATGATATAGCATTATATACTTTAATAATTTTTCTATCATGACTGAGTAAAGTTGGATATTTCTGCACGTATTTAAGATTATTTAAATTTCTTTTGAACTGTTCGTTTTTATCTTTTTTCTATTGAGTTGTCTATAATACAATGTGGTTTTAATAATTTCTGCTTATATTGTGAAAAAGAAACTTTTGTATAGATTATGTTTGTGGTTTATATTTTGTGTTACAAATGGCAAAGATTTAGTGACCCCAGACAACTTAACTTTGTAATCCCCCGCCCCATTCCTCTGCTGAACTCAAGGTTTTGACAAGGGCTGGAATCTCACTGACGCTCAGGGCTCTCTTCCACTGTGCCGTCAGCCATCAGAGGCTCTGTGTCCCCAGCCTTGCTGGTACCGTACAGCCTGGCAGTGCAGGAGACAGTCTGTGCTACTTGACATCTCCAGGGCTAGCATGATGGGCTACCTTACCTGGGGTAATCTCTCTTGATTACTTTAGAGCTGTCTTAGGGGCAATAATACATCTGCAAAATTACTTCCCTTTGTTATATAACATGACCTAGTCATTGGTGTGACGTTGTTTTCACAATCCCTACCCGTACTCTGGGGGAAGGAAGGCAGATGAATGACCTCCACTCCTGTAGTGATGGCGGTGTCTGAGCCATAGGTTGCAAACTGTCCCCTTCCCCAGCTTGTTATTAGCAATTGATTTTTTTAATGTTCTTCTTTTCCTAACACATACATGTCATAATTGGATATAATTTCTCTTTCATGCTCTTGATCTT